TATATCTATAAAATTGACTTTTGAGCACAATTTTGCTCTTCCAACAGATTTTGGTATTTTGTATTTTAATTTTCATTTGCTTCAAATATTTTTTCATTTCTTGTTTTAGTTCTTCAAAGTGTTATATTTAGTTTGGTATGCTTGATTTATTATCTTTTTTTATCTCCTTCCTATTGATTTACAATATTTTACTTCTATAATCTGAAAAGGTGCTTTTCAATGTTTTATAATTTACTGAGGCTTGGTTTGTGGCTCAAGATACAAAATATTCTGGAGAATGTTCACGCATACTGGAGAAAAAAGTGTATTGTGCTCTGGAGCAGTAGAGTGTTCTACATATGCTTACAAAATTTAGTTGTTTATTGGTATTAATTCGTTTTTATGAGTCTTTGTTGAGTTTTTCCCCCAGGTCATTCTGTGCTTCATTGAAAGTGGTATGTTGAAGTATCCTATTTTTATTTTGGAGCTGTTTACTTCTCTCTTGAAATCTGTTAGAATTTTATTTACGTCTCTTTTGGCTTTCTCTTTGGGTGTGTAGATATTAATTATGGTTATATCTTCTTGTTTGATTGACCCTTGGGTTATTACATAATGCCCTTCTTTGTCAGAGGTTCCTAATACCTAACATTTTACTCTGTCATATTCTTGTTTACATTGTGGTAACAAAGCCTTGCTTTGACTACTTGAAGTGGTTAGGACGTCACCAATTTATTTGACACCTGGTTTAATAATTTATTCACTTAAAGTTATATATAATTCCCATCATATCCAAGAAGATAGATGTTCTTTTACATAGTGACAATAGGGCAAGGAGGTAGTGAGGGATGGATAAGCATCAAAAGTCTTTTTCCTCCTGGACCTTGCTGTTTAATGTGAGAAAATTCTTCCTTTGGGAATTTTCTATTGGTAATTCTTAGATAACAAGGATTAAGTCTGCTTTTTCATAAGATAGATATTTATTTGCGATTTAAAACAACACAAAATCCTTTCTGGATTTTTTCCCCCCTCTGCATCCAAATTATTTGTAGTTATTTGTTTTCTGTTTATGTCTTGGAATTGTCTCAAATTCTTCTCCCCCGCAGCCCCCTCCCACCCCCTGTTTACTTACAAAGTTCATATACCTTTTTTCCACATAGGATCTTTCTCCTTTCCTTTACCCACTTCACCCATCAAATTATGGGACCCTATGATTAACCCCGACTCCACCCATCCCCGCTTGCACATCCTCACCACTCTGCTCCCTCATCCTCCCCTTTGTTCCAAATTCTTGTCATTGGCCTTTAGAAGTACTGTGAGTAAGTATATAAAACTCCTTTTCTTGGCTTAAATACTAGTTTGATAGAGCAAAAAAATACTTCATCTTTGAATGTTCTATTTCACATTGTAACAAATACCCTAAAATATGTTTTTTGTAGATTGAATGGTTAAATAACAGAGATAGTTTAGACCAGAACCTTAAACTATATCTGAAGATCATTTAATCTCTGATGTTTTTCTGTTCCAAGTTTTGTTTGTTGTTTTTTGTTTGGTTTTTTTTTTTCTTTGTCCTCTTAGTGAATTTAAAAGTTCCCAAACTTAATACTTGGCCTTTCTGAGAAAGTCTAGAGCTTTTATAATTTTGACAGTGCTAGAATAAAACAGTTCTGGTGGCTTGTTGTTGTTATGCACCATTGAGTCACCTGTGACTCACTAGCTCTGAACCTTGCCCTATGCTGAGCCAGTCTCCCTGAATCTGACACACCTAACCCCTATGTCCCACTTACCATGCCAATCCATGTCATCTAGTGTCTTCCTCTCTTGCACTGGCCTTCCATCCTTCCAACACAATATCTCTCTTCAAGGACAGGTCCCTTCTGGCCATCTGCCCAAAGTATGTGAGACAGAGCTCCAAAATCCTTGCCTCTAAGGAGAAACATGGTTTCGCCCTCTCAAAGACAGACCTGTTTGTTCTTGTGGTGGTCCATAGTATGTTCAATACTCTTCTCTAGCACCTTAGCTTAAAGGCATCAATTCTTCTTCTGTCGTCCTTACCTTTGTCAAGCTCTCTGATGCACAGCAAGTAATGGTGAAGACCATGGCCTGAATCAGGTTCACCTTAGTCTCTAGACTGACATCATTGCTCTATAACACTTTAGAGAAGTCCC